ACCTTAAACTCCAATTACAACCTTTGACCTAAAATGCTTTCTTGATAGTTGTGACAGAAAGCCACAGGAATAACACCAGACACAAACATCTCTACGACTTTCCCCGTGTCCGACTAAACTTGACAAAAATTCAATGTATGTCAAAGGCCAAATTGGAACACCCTACCTCAGAACTCTAGAACTGCAGACACAATCAATACCTTTCAAAACACCATTAGTAAACATCTTTATCTCCCTGATAACACCCCATCAACCTAACTACACGAATACCACCTGGTGGTTACACTTACTCACCCATTTGCATAAACAGAAAATATTAATCACATCTTAAATAATGAAATCCTAGGATACTCCAATACTGAAACTATGTACTGTGCCAAAACAAAAGCCATTCACATTGCTAAACTCACAAACTTTATTTAGTCACTTAGCAAATACCAACTTACCTCATAATTTGTATATTTAAAATAAAGAATTAAACTAAGTCTGCCCGAAATGCCTAGCCATGCTAGGCGTTCTAGTTGCGTACATCTCTAATCATTATTTAACTAATGAAACCACACAACAACCAAATTCTGTAAATTCAACATTGTAATCTTTATAGAGAATAAACTTTGAATTTGATTTGGCTTTTCGCTGCTATTTCGTTTTCATATTTGTCGTTGGGCCTCCTTCTGATCTTGGTGCATGTCTGTGCATGTGTGGATGTGTGTGTGGTGTGTGTGTGATTGTGTGTGTGTACTCACCTAGTTGAGGTTGCAGGGGTCGAGTCCAAGCTCCGCCCCCGCCTCTTCACTGGTCCTACTAGGTCACTCTCCCTGAACCATGAGCTTATCATAACTCTGCTTAAAGCTATGTATGGATCCTGCCTCCATTACATCGTTCCAAACTATTCACTTCAGACTACCTCTGTGGCTGAAGAAATACTTCCTAACATCCTGTGATTCACCTGTGTCTTCAAACTTTACAAACTGTGTTCCCTTGTTTCGCGGTGTGTCCAATCTCTGGGACATCTGTCCTTTGTCACTCTTGTCAATTCCTCTCAGTATTTTGTATGGTCGTTATATGTCCCCCCCTATCTCTCATGTCTCCAGTGTCGTCTGGTTGATTCTCCTTAACCTCTCCTTATAGGAATACCTCTTAACTTGGAAACTAGTCTTGTGGCAAACCTTGCACTTTCTCTAGTTTCTTTACGTGATTGGTAGGTGGGGTTCCAAACTGGTTGCCGCATACTCCTAATATGGACCTTAACGTACACTGTGTACAGGGTCTGAACAATTCCTTTTTAATATGTTGGAATGCTGTGCTGGAGGTTTGCTAGGCGCCCATATGCTGCATATGTGTATGTGCTCGTGTTGTAATGTACAATTCGTGTGAGTGTGTGTGTGTGTGTGTGTGTGTGTGTGTGTGTGTGTGTATACTTGTGTGCCTATGTGTGAGATGTGCTTTGTACTCACCTAATTTGTACTAATCTAATTGTGGTTGCGGCGGTCGAGACTCGGCTCCATGGCCCCGCCTCTTCCACCGAGTGCTACTAGGGTCCTCTCTCTCCCTGCCTCCATGAGCTTTATCATACCTCATCTTAAAGCTATGTATGGGTTCCTGCCTCCAGTACTCACTTGCTAAGCTATTCCCACTTCCTGACTACTCTGTGACTGAAGAAATACATCCTAACATCCCTTTGACTCATCTGAGGTCTTCAATTTCAATTGCGACCCTTGTTTCTGTGTCCCCTCTTTGGAACATCGGTGTCGTGTGTGTGTGTGTGTGCGTGTGTGTGCGTGTGTGTGTGTGTGTTATGTGTGTGTGGTGTCGTGTGTGTGTGTGTGCTGTGTGTGTGTGTGTGTGTGTGTGTGGTGTGTGTGTGTGGTTGTGTTGTGTGTGTGTTTGTGCGTGTTGTGTGTGCGCGCGCGCCTCGTGTGTGTGTGACCCAATTAATATTTGCACTAATAACTTATTACAGTTGTGACCGGGTGTGGACGTGCGAATTGCTCATTACTTTATAATTTGTTCATGATTGTGACCATGTATAGACGTGTAGATGATTCATTACCTTTGTAACTTGTTCATGATTGTGACCAGATCTACCTGGAGTTCATTACCTTTGTACCTTGTTCAGCTATCAAAACTTAGGTGCCCAGTCCCTGGACCCATTATGTACCTCTGTAATCCTTTGACTACCGTCCACAGGATGGGTATGGGGTGCATAAATAAAGATATTAAACTAACTAATAAGTAAAATCGCTGGTAATAGCTGCATTAGTAGCAGCAGCAGTGGCTATCGTAGAAGCTGGAGCAACAGTAGCAGCGGAATCAAAAGTAAAAGCCGGAGCAGCAGTAGCAGTAGTAACAGCGGAAGAACAGTAATAGAAGCGGCGGTAGCAGTAGCTGCGTTAACGGTAGCAACAGTATGAACGATAGCAGCCGAAGCGACAGGAGCAACTACAACAACAAAAAAGTTAAGATAAAATTTGTTGGAGTTTTTAACCTGGAAGGGGGTAAGATAAAGTTTAGTCACCCAGGATAGCCCAAGAAAGTCAGTGCGTCTTCGAGGATTGTCTTATTTCCACTGGGGTCCTTCAGTCTTGTCCCCCAGGGTGCGACCCACACCAGTCGACTAACACCCAGGTAACTACGTACTGCTAGGTGAACAAGGACAGCTGGTGTAAGGAAACATGCCCAACGTTTCCACCCGTGCCGGAGATTGAACCACGGACTCGTGGAACTCCGTGTTCATCAAGAACTACAAGAAGACCCTGTCACGTGCCTTCAGCATTCTATGGAGAGGGAACGTGGGCACAGGGGTCATTCCACACTCACTAAAAACAACAGACATAGCCCCCGCTCCACAAAGGTGGTAGTAAAAAAATTGCAAAGAACTACAGACCGATAGCACTAACATCCCATATTTTGAAAGGGTTCTAAGAAGCAAGATCGTCAACCGTCTATATACCTATCAGTTACACAACCCGGGTTTAGGGCAGGTCGTTTCTGCCTGTCCCAGCTACTGGACCACTATGACAAGGCCCTGGATGCTGTAGTGTAGAGGATAAACAAAATGCAAATATAGTATACACAGACTTTGCAAAAGCTTTCGACAAGTGTGACCATGGTGTAATATCGCACAAAATGCATGATAAAGGATTTTTATTATTATTATTATTATAATCAAGGGGGAAGCGCTAAACCCGGAGGATTATACAGCTCCTGGGGGGGATGTGGAGGGCATTCAGGCTTAATTCGGGGAACTGGAGCACAGATCCAATTCCCTAGATCAAGAGCCCCTCACCAACATCAAGGAACCTTCCTTGAGGGGCATGATAAAGGAATAACAGGAAAAGTTGGTAGATGAATCTATAACTTCCTGACAAATAGAACACAAAGATTTAGATTTTGCCACCGAAGTGGCTAGTTTATTGTGCACCCCATATCCATCCTGTGGACGGTAGCGCGAGAGCATATGGATACACAAAAGGCCTAGGAACTAGGCCCCAAAGGGTTAACAGGAATACATATGGATTTATATCTACATATCTATAGTTCACTTATCTGTTACAAGCAAATTTAGGAAATTTGCTTAGTATATCTGGTATCTTATTTTCATTAATAAGATATCTTGACATGTCACATAGGTTATTATACTGTCTGTCTCTGTATTCCTCAATAAGTGGACAATTAAGCACATAGTGTTCAAGAGAGTGACCATATGCCTGATCACATAATTTACATTTAGTTTGATCATCATCTGTGTGTCTCCCAAACTGCCAGAAGTACTTGTAACCAAGCCTAAGCCTGGCCACTACAACATCAGTCTGTTCACATTGCTATATATAATAGAACACAAAGAGTAAAGTTTTTAGGCAGCTACGGTGAAAAGCTCTGTTCCACAAGGCACAGTACTCGCTCCCATTCTATTCTTCATCCTCGTATCTGACATAGACAGAGATGTAAGCCACAGCTCCGTGTTCTTCCTTTGAGGATGACACCCGAATTGCCGTGACAGTGTCCTCCAACGAAGACACCGCAAGACTCCAAGCAGACATCACCCAATGAAGAGAAATTTCCATTGCTCATGAAATTGCTGACCTGGAGCGTGTACAAAGAACTTTCACGACACACATAAGTACGATAAGGCACCTAAATTGTTGGGAATGGTATAGTCTCTTGATTTGTATTCCCTGGAACGCAGCGGGAGAGATACATGATAATATTCACTTCGAAAATCCTAGAGAGATTACTACCAAACTTGCACATGAAAATCACTTCCTATGAAGGCAAAAGACTCGACAGGAGATGCAACATTCCCCCAATGAAAAGCAGGGGTGCCACGGGTATACTGAGAGACAACACAATGAGTGTCCGGGGCCCAAAACTGTTCAACTGACTCTCAGCATACATAAGGGGGATTACCAATAGACCCCTGGCTGTCTTCAAGAAGGCACTGGACAGGCACCTCAAGTCAGTACCTGACCAGCCGGGCTGTGGTTCGTACGTCAGTTTGCGTGCGGACAGCAGTAACAGCCTGGTTGATCAGACCCTGATCCTCCACGAGGCCTGGTCTCAGACCGAATCGCGGGGGCGTTGACCCCCCGAAACCCTTTTCAGGTATACACTGCGAGGCGAGTGTTGCTAACCGAACCACTAGACACCCAATCAAGCTACGAGGCAAAAGTTAACTCGGACCAGTTTTGTTTAGGCAGATTTTAATGAAAACTGAAACTATTACTGTTAGCTTGTATAATAGACGTAGAAACATCTAGACTAACTAGTCTTTCTCAGTCTATGTAGACCTCAAGATGGTGTGCTGCCTGCCTTTCCCGTGTACCTATTGTGTGCCGCCTTTCAAATTATTCCTGACTTTTTCATAGTAATGTTCTGAAATTTTGTAATGGACGAATGTTACAATTCATTGGATTACCAATGCAGTATTCTGGTTAGGGAAACTTTATGACCTTCTGCAGCACAGTAACTAAGCCTGAATTTACCTATTCATGCTATTAATACAAGCTACATATTTGTTGTGTGGCCAGCGCGGTTCATGACATTCAGGAATGAGAGGGATAAGGAAGCCTCGTATGTGAGACAGAAGATGAAGTGCTACTGGCAGACGTATAGTCCTTCCATGGAGTCGATGATGCTGTCCCACGACGCACTCTACCTGAACCAGAACGAGCAGAACGAGATCCTCTCGTACCTCCCCAACTACCACGGCAAGAAGGTGCTTGAGCTGGGAGCTGGGATAGGGTGGGTTAAATGTTTTTTAAAGGTTTCCCATGTTTTTTGTGACTTTTAGTTTCTTTTTTCTTCTTTTATATGTTTTTAGGATGTGTTGAATAACAAGTCATACTGTTACTAGAATATTTGTTTTTGCTTTGTTAGCTGAAGGTAGGCTTTGGTTGTGGCGAGTTGTGTGAACGAGATGTTCCACAAGCTGTTAATTACACTACAGTAGAGAGTTTTCAGTTTGGGTAATTGAACAAGGTTAATTTTGTATCCGAGAGTAAATTAATTTGTCAGAGGGTTTGGAGTCTGCTGTCATACTTTCAACATAATTGTGCAAAACAAACACGTTTTTATTTAGCCAGATCCTTGTCTACTCATCCTCTGATTAAAAAATGTCACCATGTTCCAGCAAAGAAAGGTTTTTCCCTTTACTACTGAACCTTTTCAACCCACTTACAGTAGAACAATATTGTTTACCTTCACTCATCCTACTGTCTTGAAAAAGCTTGATGAGTAAGACACATCTGTAACATTTAGGTATCATTATTAACGAAAAAAATTCGTCTGCACAGCAGACCCCTTCAGGCGAATTTAGACGATTATAACACCGGAAAACAGTGTAAGTGGAGATGTTAATTTTTAAGGTGATCAATTCTTCAATATTTATAAATTAAAAAATCCTGTTGTACAGGCGAAACATTATCATTAATAAAGTTTTTCAAACTGCATTTATTCTTGGTGTAACAGGTAAAGTGTGGTCTTAATGACCCACTTCCAGTCTGTAGGCTGAAACCCTTCAAGGGAGGTTCCTTGACGCTGGTGAGGGGTTCTTGATTTTAGGGAATTGGATCAGTGCTCCGGTTTCGTGAATACCTTCCCCTTCCTCACCCCTAAGGCGCTGTATAATCCCTACGGGGTTTAGTGCTTCCCCATGATTTTAATAATAAGGTAGGCTTGAAACCTTACACAGTGTCTATTCACAGGAGGTTCACTTCCAAGCTGGCATCAGTGGCAAGTCACGTGACTGCGGTGGACTTTATGCAAGATTATATCACCGAGAACCAGAAGGAGAACCAACACCTTGGCAACGTTACCTTCAAGTGTGCTGATGTCACAAAGTGTGTATACGCTCACGTATAGGTATTGTATAAGCAGAAATAGGCACACACATATGCATTTGTGTGACAGGTTCATGCAGAAACATTCACGTGTATTCTTAATATTTAGATATAAAATAAAGGTTAGATTAAAATAATTATAGTGCTATAAAAGTCTTTAAATAACCTTTATACTTGCAATGTACTATTAAAAAAATAACATTTTTTCTAATTTATAATTAAAAATCCAAAACAAGTAAAAATAGACTACAAAAATGCATAAAGACAAGTAATCATATTCATTATTTTTATTGGTACATATATTAAAAAACAATGCTAGGCCCGTATGGGTCATTCAGCACTGCTTAGATCTATTTGGTTCCTTCTAAAGTACACGATAGCTTGGTTGTAAAAAATTATTCTACACCTCCTCATCACCGTCTGCGTCTCCGACAGACTGGACTTTCCTGCTGCGTCGTTTGATCTGGTTTTCAGCAATTGGCTTTTCATGTATCTGAGTGACACTGAGAATGTCCAAGTCTTCAGGAAAATCCTCGCTTGGCTCAGCCCTGGCGGATACTTCTTCCTCAGGGAGTCCTGCTACCACCAGTCAGGTTAGATATATAGTCACACATGTATATATGTACCTACATATAGACTATACACAAATAACTCGCACATATTTACGGGGTAATTTGTGTATTGTTCCAGTCATGGGATTGTACCATTTTATTTTTTTATCATAGACTGATTTATTTACGTGCATATTAAGCAGTCATTGTTTCCTGGAAAGAACTAGCAATAATGGACACAAAGTAGACAAAATCAGATTTACAAAGGTTTGATAGCTAAGCTACAGATTTGTGGAACAAATTACGACGCGGGATTATAGAAGCAAATAATTTGAATAACTTAAAGGGCGGAATGGACGAATGGGGAATGATTGCTTGTGAGTTGGACTAGCGTTCATATTTCAAGCTTTTCATTAACAGGTAACGTGAAGCGCAACGAGAACCCGACGCTGTACCGCACTCCACTGGAGTACTTCGAGTTACTGAAAGATGTGTCCAGCGACAACTTGGGCTACAAAATCATCAGGAGCAAGAACATTCTGGCTTATATTAAAGTACGTAGGTGGAAATGTGTATCAGATCCTCCGTTGATCTGTAGCTTTATAGGTTGGTACATGGGAGTGTAGTACTGAGGTGATTAGTCTTAATCACCAATACTGTGTGTATTAATTGTTACCAAAGTATTATTATTATCATCAAAACTAAGCGCTAAACCCACGTTGCCAAAATAACCTTAGTGAAATTAACTGATGAAGCCATTTTTTTTTTTGTGTGTGGAAGAGGGGAATTAATTGATAGTTTTGTGTATATTTTGCAGTATCACGCCAATCCCAACCAGCTGTGTTTCCTGACCAAGCGTGTAGAAAACAACGAGTTGGACAACCGGACTCAATATCTCGAGTCCCAATACACTATAGAACATATCAGGTCCATGGAACGGGTATACGGACACAACTACCTGCTCTACCGGAGGCGAATATGCCACCAGAGTACGTAATGTCCTTAGCATATAAATTCACAAATAAGTTGCAGTTTGGGGAGGAAACTTCAAATGTTTCAGTATGTCCTGGACCATTTTTAATGTTTCTGGACAGAGTGAAACTTCGTTCAACGTTTTGTCTCCAATGTGTGGGTTGTCTGAATTATTTCAAAGTACTTCTGTACCATATAAATTTAGCACTTAATTTACACTGCTTTATTTTATCAGCATGTGGATCTGGGAATTATGTTCAATAACTGTAAAAGTACATAGCATCTCTGCTTAACATAGCTTAGTATTTAAAGGTTTAAAATTTGTTGACTGGCGAGATCATTCAAGTCACAACCTACCTAGTTTCTAACCTTCAATACACTTTAAAGCCTAACTTAGATAAAGAGAAGATATGCACCCCTCTGACGTCTGCTATATGGATATAAAAATATATTTTTATAAGACTACAGTGCTTTGAATGACGGTATGTTTAGAAAAACATGAAGAGGAGTAACAGTGATTCCTATTTACTCGTATGCAAGCCTGTCAGTTTGAGGACGATATGGAATATGTACTAGGTCCTGTTTCCTCCTACTCATTATCACATATTTAATGCGTACTACTTCCTTAACTTTCCCTCTCAAGTTCTGTTTTTTTTTTTTTTTTTGGGGGGGGGGTCTCAAAAAGTTGTAGCACTAGGTTCTCTCATCTTACCTTTCTATTTCACTCTTTTGGCATCAGAGGGATTGTTAGACCCTGTGGCCTGGCTGCCAAAGCTCTCTCTCTTCACACGCTGAGAACCCGGGTTCGATTCCCGGCAGGGTGGAAACATTTCGACGCGTTTCCTTACACCTGTTGTCCTCTTCACCTAGCAAGTAGGTACCTGGGTGTTAGTCGACTGGTGTGGGTCGCATCCTGGGGGACAAGATTGAGGACCACAATGGAAATAAGACAGAAAGTCCCTCCATGACGCACTGACTTTCTTGAGTTATCGTGGGTGGCTAACCTTCCGGGGTTAAAAATCCGAACGAAATCTTATCGTATCTTAAGTCTTACTAATTTTTCGTCTCGTCAGTGTTTTTATGGTCTCAAGGAATTGTGGTGTGTGTGTGTGTAACCCAACAATTGTTATTTGCACTAATAGCTCATTACAGTTGTGACCGGGTGTGGACATGTGAATTGCTCATTACTCAATAATTTGTTCATGATTGTAGCCATGTATAAACGTAAGTAAATTTACTTACATGATTCATTACCTTTGTAACTTGTGAGTTCATTACCTTTGTACATAGTTCAGCTATCAAAACTTTGGGGCCCAGTCCCTGGACCCATTATGTACCTATGTAATCTTTTGACTACCGCCCACACCATGGGTATGGGGTGCATAATAAATATATTAAACGAAAAACTCAAGGAACTCTGGGCACTAAATCTTGTCTTAACTTTCCCTCACACTCTTACGGTCTGAAAGACTTGCAGGCTTTATTAACTGTCTATTTTTTTTTGTTTCTTACGGTCTGAAGGACTTCTGTACTCGTCTTGGGCTGCTGCCAGGGCAGAAGGTATTGGACGTGGGCTGCGGGACTGGTGGCTCAGCCATCTTTATGGCTAGACACTACGGCGTTGACGTTCATGGTGTTGACCTCTCCACTAACATGATTCACATCGCCATTGAAAGGCAAGGGAAGCTCGAGCCACAGGTGAAGAAAAAGGTAAGTGAATCTGGATAGGGAAAGTGGTCACTACTAATGCGGGAAAAAATAATTGAAAATACAGTGGTTGGAACAACTGAGAACTAACCCACAAACTGGAAATAAAAATTGGATGACGTTTCTGCAATTCGTAGACTATTATTAAGTGGCGCAAGAGACTGATAATGACCCAAAATAGATAGTTATTGTGGTAGCAGGAAGTTTTAAGTACTCTCTATGACCAAACCTAACTAGACTAATGCCTAAACTTTGTTTAAGGATAATTTCTTTCTTGCATCAACATTTAAATCTCGGATGTATAAACGTAGTCATTTTGACTGAAAACAACTTAATATGTACAAAAAACATTAAACAGATTTTTCGATTCCCACTGACAGATTTAGTTTTGTATTCCTGTTGACAGATTCAGTTCGAGATTAGTGATATCCTCGACGTGGAGTATGAAAACGACTCCTATGATATAATATACAGCAGGGACTGTATTCTTCATATAGAAAATAAATTACAACTCTTCAGGAAGCTACATGTAAGTTGCTGAGAAATGGTTATTAATTTTGAAAATTTAGTTACGACTTCTCCAGGTATACGTAGTGTGTTTACCTCAGGGATTCAGGTTTTCGATCCTCTCTCCTGAGATATGTTAAATAATGTTAAATATCATTTGAGAATATAATTAATGTGACAAGATTATTGTTTTTGTATATGGCATAATATTTTCCTCTACATTAAATAATAGTTTTGAGGGAGTTAAGATGTACGACAAAACTGTGTTTTTGTGTATTTACCAGAGATGGCTGCGTCCAGGAGGGACTCTCTTCTTTACGGATTTCTGCATGAATAACTCTCAGCCTTCACAGAGCTTCCTTAACTATGCCAAAACATTTAAATGTGAGTATAACTTCGTGCTTTTAACTTAAATAAATGGGCAATGCAGGTTCTCTCCAACTTACGAACGCCTTACGTTTATACATCCACATTTAGGTTAAGTTAGGTAATATGATGACCCACCACTGGAGCATTTGGTCATCTGACTGAGGCCTTCCACTGCCTTACCGGTCCACATTTATAAACGGGAGTTTATACAAGGAAAAAAACGGTTTGCAAAGACAAAAAAAAATCAAAAGCTCTGTTCTTTCGTAAGTTTTGGAACCTTATGTAAATTAATTTTACTATTTCTGTTAGGATCAGAATTATGAATAGTAATACCTAGAGAGATTTTTAAAGTATTAAAACATTTATACAGTAATAAATGTTTATATCAGTACAGTTCCCATTTGCGTTAATTCACAGACCATCGGGCCTGATCAAGATATGTTCCAAGTGTAACTTTCAACATCCTTCTTGCGAATATTTAATAATGTGTATCTATGCTAAATAATCATATACATTCTTGCTTGACAGTTGTCAATCAATCATTAATTAAGGTGGTGGTCTGTAATGCAGGTAACACCCTCCCGACAATCAAGTCACACGGTGAGGCACTCAGGAAGGTTGGCTTTCAAGACATTGAAACGCAAGACCTACACGAGGAGTATATCAAGTTTATCGAAAACCGAACTGAGAGCCTTCACTGCCACCCGCGAGGCTTTCGTCCAAGATTTTCACAGAAGCAGTTTGACGATATCTCCAAGAGCTGGAGAGATAAGGTACGTCTCTACTTGAACAAAAAAGCATTTCATATAACTCGGATCAAATTATTATTATTATTAGAGTTAAACCCGTAAGTCATACAGCATAGGATAATGAATGGTCATCAGGCATGAATCGAAGAGAAGTTTACCTGGAGTTTACCTGGAGAGAGTTCCGGGGGTCAACGCCCCAGCGGCCCGGTCTGTGACCAGGCCTCCTGGTGGATCAGAGCCTGATCAGCCAGGCTGTTACTGCTGCCTGCACGCAAACCAACGTACGAGCCACAGCCCGGCTGGTCAGGTACCGACTTGAGGTGCTTGTCCAGTGCCAGCTTGAAGATTGTCAGGGGTCTGTTGGTAATCCCCCTTATGTGTGCTGGGAGGCAGTTGAACAGTCTCGGGCCCCTGACACTTATTGTATGGTCTCTTAACGTGCTAGTGACACCCATGCTTTTCATTGGGGGGATGGTGCATCGTCTGCCAAGTCTTTTGCTTTCGTAGTGAGTGATTTTCGTGTGCAAGTTCGGTACTAGTCCCTCTAGGATTTTCCAGGTGTATATAATCATGTATCTCTCACGCCTGCGTTCCAGGGAATACAGGTTCAGGAACCTCAAGCGTTCCCAGTAATTGAGGTGTTTTATCTCCGTTATGCGCGCCGTGAAGGTTCTCTGTACATTTTCTAGGTCAGCCATTTCACCTGCCTTGAAAGGTGCTGTTAGTGTGCAGCAATATTCCAGCCTAGATAGAACAAGTGACCTGAAGAGTGTCATCATGGGCTTGGCATCCCTAGTTTTGAAGGTTCTCATTATCCATCCTGTAGGTGGGTAGTTAAATTCCTAGAATCAAAAGTCTTCATCTGGAGCAAGACATCCCTTTGAAGGCCTCGAGCTAACCCATATGAACTCTAGGCTGATTCATTCAAAGTAACCACGGTTTCCTTTTCAAGAGCAAGCCAATAAAATGTGTGATTTATCTTTCGTTGTGGTATGTTCAGATAAGTCTCTTGAGATTTTATCACTGAATCACTGACTCGTTTGCTGTTTATAGTACCCTCACCTCATTTATTTTTTTGAAATTTATCATTCGATATGTAACACATCGTGCAGTTACTTTTGTATGACGCAGCATTTGAACACTTCCAAGTCTGAAGTTTTCTTGCACAGTGACCCTTGCAGGGCTAGACTTTCTCACATTTGCATTACAATTTTTGCTAGGATGCGACCCACAAAAAGTCGAATAACCCACCGGTAGCTAACTTTTTTTGTGGAAGTGATAAGAGCAGGAGTACAGAGACACGTGGCAGTGTTTCGCCGGGCTCAAAATTTGAGCTCTAGACTTCTTGAGGATAGATAGACTATTATTCATTTCATGGGGAGCGCCAAACCGGTAGGGGATAATAGATAGGAGGTATAAGGGACGTCTGAGGAAGGAAGGCGGGTGTGAATGAGATTGTGATAGGTAGAGGCTTGCGCATCCAGCACTACTTGTTAGCGTGTTTAGTCAGAGTGAAGGAAACTTATTTTTTGGCACTTGAATGTGCTGTAGGGGTGTGAAGAAGGTAATATCCATGAAGGAATTCAGGGAACCCAATTATCCAGATTTGAGTTTTGCAGGTGGGAATATACTGTCTTTATCCATCTTTAGAAAATAGGTAAGGATGCTGTTGGTGGGTTATTGGGGAGTGACGATAACTAGAAAGATAACTAGCAAGTGAGTAATGGTGAAATTTTTTTTGGTCATCCTATCCGTGGGAAATGAACCCGGGCCGGATTAAGGGATGGGCTTTAGGGGCTGCAGCCTAGAGGCTTCTGCCAGCTGGAGAGCCCTCAGAGATTGAGTGATAAGTGTGAGGGAAAATTACCTGCATGAGGTGGGACAGGGTATTACCTGAACTGTTACATGTAAGTAATTTGAGTGATTTTAAGTGGGCTTAGTCAAGTAGGTCAAATCCTTCGATGCCCACTCCCCACTCTCACAAAAAAGCTTGATCTGACATTAAATTAATAATTACAATATTTAAACATTAATACCAATAATGGTATATTATTAAATAGTGTGGACTGCATATGATTTCAGGACCTGATTGTTAGAAATGGTTAACGGGACTATTTTTACAGAGACTAAAAGGTTTTCTCCTAACCATATCATTAAAACAAATTTTTACCATTAATTACTATTTGTCACAGGAAGACACTTATTGCTGGTGGAACACACCCTAACACATACGTGATACAGAATCCACTGGGCCAGCGAGAAATCTAAATTTAAAGGACCCAATTTGAATACATACTGGATGTGCTGCTGACGATGCCTCAGCATTTCCACTATCACCAACTAATTCTGGAGGCCCCGCAAATTCTCTGTTCCTAGTCTTCAACAGGGGACGTTCCAGTACTTATTAATTATAGTTTGAGGCCGATCCATTCAATTATGGCCTTGATGATGCTGGATTACTAGACGAGTTCACCACAACCAATGCTCACACATTAATTCACTATAGCATCCTCTTCCCCTGTATTACTCTGCAGCCGCTGCTCACCCTCCCTTTACACAAAATTTCTTGAAGGGTCAAGTCAGCGTCACATTTTAATGCACAATTATTATATTATTCATATGTAAACATGCTGAATTTAGGAAAATTATAAAAAAATCCACAAAGGGGTTTTCCCGTTTACTGTTTAAAGTTTATAATATAGTACTTTATTACATCACGTATATACGAAAATACTGACTGTTGTGATTATTTTTTTCCTTTTGCAAAAAATCCCCTAAGGGCCCCACTCCCGTACCTGTAGCCCAGGGTCTACAAAATCTTAATGCGGCTCTGGAAACGGCCAATATACATATTAATAATCATTATTCCTGGTCACGACCAGGAGACGACCCTCGCCCATAACCACACTCCATAATATGTATGTCCACAACATAAGGTTTTATTCATTTTCAGACTTAAACAACAGCGAATAATTACCTCTGGCAAGACACTGTTTTTTCCTTATTTCTGCTTTCAGAAACTTAAATATACACCCAAAAAAATTATACAGGAGTTTTTCCATCAGATTCGTTGGACAGGAGAGGGAGAGCTGACGTGGGCAGCCTTCACTGCAGCCAAGAACTAAGCAAAGACAACTCGGAACAAGGATCAACTCAACAAAGAAAAAAATAAAATCTTTTTTTTTTTTTATAAACATACATACAAGTTATAATAGTATGGTTTGGAGTTTATTTGTTTACCGTTTTGATACAATTATAATACAATTGTAATTTGATACAATTACTCAGGATATAAATAACAAAAAAAAAAAGGCACAATACCGTGACTGGAACGATACACAATAACCCGCACATAGAAGAGAGGAGCTTACGACGACGTTTCGGATGTATTTCTCTCAGCATTTATATCTTTTTTTCATTTCCTGTTAATATCATGAACTTAAAAAATACCAATGCCATGAACTCCTTAAAAAATAAAACTTTGCAGATCTTAAAACTAGTTTAAGTTTATACCTGAAATGCTGTGTATTCTATGGACCTTCACCTCTTCAAGGGGGCTCCTTGGCGTGGTGAAGAGGCTCTTGGTCTGAGGAATTAGACCTGTTGGTCTCCTTCCTCAGACCGAACCTAATTACCCCCCAATCCCCCCTTCCCTATCCCATCCTCCCCTTTTTTCCTTTTCCTCCTCCTCCTCCCCACCCCCTCCCTTTTGCCCTTCTTTTTTTGGCCTTTGGGATTTTTCCCACAGGCGTGCTAGTTCCTGGGTAGGGGAAAGGGTACCAGGGTCCATCCCATTCCGTTGAGGTTCTTGGCGGTGGCGTAGTTTTGCCATGGAATCTGGATTGCCTGGGGATGTCCCGATCCCTCTCCAGTATCCTGGAGGGTGGCTTTGGGTGTCTTTTGAGCGACGGGTGTATCTCTGGAAGCCACCTTTCGGATTCCGGCGGTGGTGGCCGAAGGAGGTATGCTTTGTGGCAGATATCCGGCCGCCCTCTCTTTTGTCCACCGAGGTAGCTCGGCAGATGTGAGGTTGCTATCCCGGATTCCTGGTTTACTGGCATGATGGGTAGGGTATGGCATGGGTTCCATGCTGCATCTGCGCTACTTGCTACTTGCGTGCTGAGGTCCTCTTGGGCGCGGAGGAGATTTCTGGCCCTTTCATTCCTCCTAGGAACTATCCCTCCCCGGTCCCCCCTTTTTTTATTCTTTTTTTTATTTTAATTTTCTTTTCTTTCTTTTCTTAAAAACAAAAAGAAAGAAGTAACCTAACCATGGAGTACCCGATCCATGACCCCGCTACCCCCAGGCCCCTTATTGTTACCGCACCCCGTTCTGACCTCGCCTCATCTTTTGGCCACTTTGGAACATTCCTAAGGCCACCGTACCTCTTGCTGGTGCTGTTTCCTCACCCGCTTCAGGTACCGGGGCTTCCACTGACTCCTTCGATTTGTCTGACCTCTGCTCTCCCTTGACTATGCTTCCGGCTTCTCCCTCTATGGTGCGGCGATTTTCGAATCGCCAGCCCGTCCCACGTCGGACCAACTCTGGTCCCACTTGTTCTTGTCCAGACCAGAGCTTTGGTGAGATGGGTAAGGAAGAAGGATGGGTAAGGATAGAAATATTGGAAAAGGGTGGGAGGGGGGAGAGAGGTAGGATATAAAAGGTAAGTGGCCCAACCACTTTGGTGTAATTTAAAGAGTGTATGTGAAATGATAAGATATTCTTTAAGGGGTATAAGACTAACCCGTCAGAGTCACATAGATATAACAGATATATAAGTACATGACTCTGAATTGGTAGTAATTATACAAGTTGCAATTGCTTTTTTTTTTTTTTTTTCGATTGCACAACGGATATTTATGCGACAATGAAGGCAATAATTTTCTGGTCAGTTTATAGAATTACGTGACAATGGCTTCTTACAGGTGGTGTCCAGCCATAGTAAATAGCATAATTTTTTTACATTAGATTGTTATATAAGATGTCTCCCTAATTGGGGGCGATGATTTTCTCAGTATACATAGAATGGTTCTGGTGTTACCCAATCTTCTTCATCAGGGAGGTTGCTCAATATCATGGGTCGAGGGTAATCATCTTTATGAATAAAACGACGGACCCTCTGTGGGAGAGTCGTTCTTTGAGTCCTGTGAGGAGGAGTATTGATGGTATAATCCGTGGTATTTACCACCTGTATAGGATGTTCTCTATCTGGCATGTATAGTTCTTGCATTGTATGAGTTGTTTCTTTTTTTAGGGTGTCAAGGCGTACATTTATGGCAGTAATATCTTGTTGTATGTGTAAATCTGCCATTTTAACTCTGTCTCTCCTCCTGGTATCGGTAATGAAGCGAAGAGCTCTATTCTGGACCCTTTGTAACCGGAGCATGTTGGTCTTTGTTGTTAATGACATTGGGACACAAGGGTATTCGAGTATAGGTCTTATTATCATTTTATACAGATGTTTTTTGACATGTTGAGGGGCTTGATTGAATCGAAAGAGACTGCTAAGACCGGCTTTGGCTATGTTGATCTTTTTAGTTACATGAGATGTTTGAGTGGAGCAGCCTGTCTATTTCATATCCCAAAATCTTGTTAGGGTTTCTAATGGCTACAGGTGTACCTCTGATGGAGATACCCCCTTTATCTTCAATTGTTGATGCAAAACATCCTATCGTGCTAACAAGGACCTTGTCAGGATTAGTCGTAATCTCCATTTCTTTTCCCAATTAGATGTTCGACGAAGTTCAATATTCATTTTTTCTATGACTCTCTCATACTTGTATTTTCCTGTTACCGGAGTTGATGAGACGACATGAATAACATCATCTGCAAACTGTGTCACAATTGTATCATTAAACTCTGGTTGAGGAAGGTCATTCACATAAATGTTGAACAGAATTGGACTGAGACAAGAACCTTGTGGGACACCAGCTGTCGGTATAAAAGGCTCTGTCGACCTGCCATGAAAGGTGGGAATGATTTTTCTTTGAGTTAAGAAATTATATATTATTTTGAGAAAAGTCCAGTTATGGTCTGGTAGGTCAATGAGTTTGTATATAAGGCCATCATGCCATAAGCTATCAAAAGCTTTATGAACATCTCTGGTGGCAATTAAGGCAAGATTGCCCTGATGTTTTAGACTTGCTACATTATCGAAAATAACATTTATTGCATGATTGGTACCTCTATGTGTTCTAAAGCCAAATTGTTTTTCAGTAAAAAAGTGATTAAACTCCATATAGTAGTTCAATCTGTTGGAAATGACCTTCTCAAGAACTTTTCCAGTGACTTCAAGTAAAGATATAGGTCTATAGTTCCCAGGTTGGTGGATGTCTTTATTGGGCTTACCAAGAAAGATCATCCTAGCAGTCTTAAAAACCACTGGAAAATGTCCTGAGGCCAAGATGGCATTAAAGATATTTACCAAAGACTGTTTACAATTTCTGGGTAGGAACTTTATTTGTTTCATTGTTATTCCAGAGAGGCCAGGGGCTCTATTTCGCATTCTTCCAATAACCTGACTCATCTCTAGTAATGTAATAGGTCTAGTAAGTGGGTGGGTATCTTCAAGAGTTGAAGTATCGATGGAAGGTAGTGGTTGTAGATCATCCAAGTTCTCATCTCTCCATTCATTTACCAACTGATAACGATTATTGTTAAATTGACGACTGTTATTGTGGGAGAGAATTTTCTCCCATACATCACCCATCAAATTAGCCTGGTCCTGTGGATCGTCAAGTTTAATTTCAACATCTTCATCATCCTCATCAGTGAAGGTATGAACTAGGTAGTTAGGAGCCTTGTGCTTTGCCCTTAAAAGTTGTCGGATCTTACTCCAAAATTTTGCTGGTTCACGTTTATACCGATTAGCTTGAAGAACTAGTAATTTCCATAAGTCTCGTTTGTGATGATTAATCATGTTAATTAATTCTTGCCTTAATCGGTGCAGTGTAGCTACTGGTGGTTGTCGCGTTTGAAGATGCCTTCGACATTCTGCTTGATAATTTCTAAAATTGTCTCTAATTTTCCTAGTAGGTTTGTATTGTTGGTATATCTTTGTGGAAGCTAATTGAGAAGTTGCATTAGTAGCTTCAATTATTCTATTATGCAGGGACCTGATTGCATCATCAATTGGAGTGGAAGGTAGATTTTCCAATGACACAATTTCATCCTCACCCAGAAATGCCCTGAAAGGGTCAAATCCTAGGGTGTTAAGATTGGGTTTAGGAGTTACAGGTATTCTAAATGGAGAAGTTTGTAGTTGTATTATAACAGGGATATGGTCAGATCCTACGTTTCCACCAGGAGATATACGACAGTGAAAGATGTCACAGTCTCTGTTTGTCAGTACTATATCTGGTGTTCCTGGATGAGGTCCAATGTACGATTTAAAGAATGGGCCTTGAAATGACAAATTTCTAGCTGTCATGATATTAAATAGTTGTTTTCCTTTTAAGTCACCCAGTGGAATACCAGCTCCACAGTTGAAGAGGGCAGGGTGATGAGCATTAAAATCTCCCGCTAGAATTGTTGGAATATTTCTGCTTAATATCCTATGTAGAGGAATTGACTCTATATATTGTTGTATCGGGGGAAAATATCCAGTTCCTATCACTAGTTGTCCATGAGACGTTGTCATTTCTATTGCAAGAATGTTATCTTCATCAACATGAATATTTTTAAATGTATAGCCTAATTTAACTAAAATGGCTACACCACTAAAGGGTCCTCTCGATTTCTCCACAGTAGAGTAACCACTTAATTTAATATGTTGATCAACTCTTGCAGCTGTCTCGTTCAAGAGTATAACATGGGGATTGTAATTATGTAGTTTCAACCTCAAGGAGGTAACGGTTATTAAAGAAATGTTGAACATTAAGTTGGAAAATTGAAATTTCCCATTATTTCTTGCACTTCGATCGTGTACTGAGGTCTGAACGCCTAAGTAATGTCATGTTTGGTATCCACACTATTCCTGCTGGACTCGTCAAGGGGAGGAGGGAACTTCTGCGTAGTTGCTTGTGTATTAAAAATGCCATCATCTTCACTAGAGGTGGTAATATTAACAGACTCATTAGAACATAAGGTAGACACTTATGTTCTTCCTGCCTGCGGGTGAAGACGATACCCTTGCAATGTGGCTCGTTTAACTTTTGACAGCCGTGAACTCCCATCCTCTGTTTATGTAGCAGGACATCGGTTAAAAGTTCGGAAGGTGATCCCTACACCACAACAGTGTAGGAATTGCTGGCAATTTGGCCACCCAGCAAAATATTGCAGATCTATAGCTGAATGCCCAGTCTGTGGTGCCGATGACCATTCTAATACATCTTGCAGTTGAACTCCCTCTTGCCTCAATTGTCATGAGGCTCACCCTTCATACTCTCGCCGTTGCCAAGTCTACTTAACTGAGCGGGAAATTCGTTGCCTCAAAGAGGCAGAAGGTCTCCCTTATGCCATGGCAGTTTCTCATCTCCACCTCCAAGGGAGACTGCC